GATCCCTCCTGATCAACGCCTCGCCATCGCCAGAGCCCACCAGCCGCATCACCGCTGGCCTGCGCAGCCGTGATGCAGCCTGTTGACGAAACCCCGATGGTGCCCACTGCGAACTTCGTGATGCATTCGCGCGGGATGGTCGTGGGAAACTCGAAGGGATCCCGTGTAAGGGCCCTCGCGACAGCCGGGTTGCCATCACTTCCCACTCCCCGGGTGCAACCCGACGCTAGGCCCCGCGCGCCAGAAAAGCGCTCCCCCTGACAGGAGGCACCCCCTGCTCGCGAACTGCCGGCACCCCGGCGCTGCGGGCCGGCCCAGGGGGCCCCCGAGCGCAGCTGCGCGACTTAACCCTGCCGTGCGGCGGGCCCGGGGCACGCGCGGGAGGTCCAGTCAATCAATCCGCGCGAGGGCGCGCCTGGGAGGCGGTGCCCTCGGGCGGGCTGCGGAGCGCGGATTGCATCAGAGGTGCTTCCCAAGTCGGGAGGGGACTCTCAGGTGGGCCTCCCAAGGAACGCTGGGTCGCTGTGGCTGAACCGGGTGCCTCATGCCCTGTGCCACCTTCCTTGGGCCTTTGCCTGGGAGGGCAAGGGATTGCCGCCGTGGAGGACGGCGTTCGGAGTCCGGGCTCGGGACTCGCCCGGACGTTTGTTCCGGCGTACCCGAGAGCGAGCGCAGAGGCGTCCATGCCCCGTCGGGCCGTGGCTGCCTGGCTGTCGTCGCGCCAACACGGGATCAACGCCCGGCCGGCGGTGGCGCGCTCCGCGCGTCGCGCCAGTCGCATCCGATCCCAGGACGCGACACGGAAGGCAATGCGGCGTCTGCACGGAAAAGTGGTGCCCACGCTGCGCAAGCCCGCTGTTTCCAGGGCCCATGCTGTGCCGGCACGCGCCGTCGTCCGTCAGTGACGGTCGTTAGGGAAATGTCTGCGCCACGCGCTGCCAGCGGCGTCAGGAGCGTCGGCCGTCGCCCGTCGCGTTCGTTGGCCATGCGCAGGCATCGCAGCGGAAAAGGGCGCATGGTTGCGGACATGCCTCCTGACCCGCTAAACGTCCGAACCGAATGATCAGGTTATGCTGGCCTGGAAAGTTGGTAAAAGGATGGCTGCGCGTTCAGTGTGAAGGAATCCGGCCAGTTCGCCTGGTCGCAACCGCTCGTGACCGTCTGTTAACAAACCCTTTGTCATCCTCAAAGGCACTTACGCTGGACGCCCCTTGGTGCTGCCCGCATGCCGCAACCTTCTTATCGTCGTGTCGTTGCATCTGCAGGTCACACCTGTGGCTGCTGTCAATGCGCACAGATGGCAACATGGTTGTGGAGGCTGTTTCCTTTGCTTGTTCTGCTGCGTGAGGCTGTATCGCAGACGAAAGAGCAACTGAGGTGAGTGCAAATGGTTCTGCATCAGTCCCACCTCGCCCAGTCTCCCCAGCATTCGTGTTCCACAAGGATGCAGCCTCCCCTGCCCTGGTTTCATAGGCTAAGTAGCAGGGCATGATTAGCAGCCTGCCCATTGTTGTGTTTATGGTGCACAGTGCATACGTGCTCTGGCAATAGGGCACACAAGTGCTGTTGTGAATTTTTGTGTGCTTTCTGCTGTGTAGCCAAATGAATGACGTGTGCTCAACACTTCCCGACCTATCACCAGGTGAGCACCAGGGATCAAGTTGTGTTCAAATCCTCCTTTGGTTGTACTAATTGTATGGTGGCAATGAGCTGTCCCAACGCCTATCACGCGACGCCAGCTGCTTGAATATTGTTGCTTGCAACTTTATGCAGGTTATGCACAATGGTTTACCCAAAAGGTTCTGTGTCTGGAAAAGGGTTTGTGTTCGCCTATGCGATTGCCATCCCAGAATGTGCAGACAGATTTGGCTTGCATAGCTTTGCATTGATTGTTATCATTCCATTCTCATCGGTTGCAAAGCCTTCTTTCAGTAAGTTTGGGAGCCGATGCAAGACATGTGAATGTGCAGGACGTTGGTCTACTTGTGCTCATCATCCTTGATTGTGATACTTGCAGACCTGTGCTCAGAGACTTGCCACAACAAAAGCTGCCCAAACACAAACCCATGTGAAGGGTTGAGCTGCACTGTGTACCCGGATGCCGTGTGCTTCTTCTGTTGCTGCAGCAGCGACGCACAGTGGACTTTGAATGGGGAGCAGATGATCAGGTGCCCAATAGTGAGTAGTTCCACTACCACCATCACTACAGGCGCTGGTCCAACGGCGACAACGACGGTAATCAGGGGGACTGAAGGCATGGAACCCAACCTCGCGCTCCCTGTACCGTTGGTTGCATTTTTTGAGGATATGCTGGGCGAGCACAAGTCTGATTTATCGGATTGTGAGGGGGTTGATATTGGTGACAGCGAAACAGTGGATTGCCAGGAGGTGCTGAGAGAATGCCAAAGAACGCCTTGGAAAGCAGAGTGTGTATCATGCAACTTGGACACAAGTGGCTAGCCTCCACGTGTTCCAGTCTGAAATGATGAGAGGAAACTGCGTTTTGATTGATGGCTGCAAAATGCCACAAGCACTGTTGGCAGTCCGCCGCTAGCGCCAGTCTTAGAGTTGCTCTTCAGACAGGAGAGCGGCCAATGGAATTCATCTTTATGAACTTGGTTTTTAAGGAAGCACATGCCTAAGAGTTGCAATGGACTTTGTTCGATTCACCTATGGATGCGTTCGCTTGACGCTGTAGAGATGCCAACACACGGACACACACACACACACACACACACACACACACACACACACACACACACACACACACACACACACACACACACACACACACACACACACACACACACACACACACACACACACACACACACACACACACACACACATATCTTGCTGTCGGTGGCCCTATAGCGCTGCAAAGCGGAAAAGGGCCCATCTTCTTCTGCTAGGACGGGGGTGCTCCTTTGTATGACCTGTGGTTTTCTGGGATTGTAACATCTTGACACACACACACACACACACACATATCTTTCCCCATCTTGTCCCACAGCTGGGAAATGCCTAGACATGATTGGAATCGTGATGTACATTAGGACAGAGCGGTTTGTAAGACGATGCAGGGAGTCGACGAATGGGGCGAGGCGGGTGGGGGGTGGGGGTAGGGGGAGGGAGGGGAGGTGATGGTCGAAATGTGTGTTTGACTGATAGGATGAGGCAATTCAAAACAAAGGCCATCAGCTAGCACTTTGCATGCTGTTATGGCGTTGATGCCTGTCTCAGGAAGATGTGGATGACTTGGGGAAGAACATGGGCTGGGGCCGCATCCGCCACCCAAGCCAACAAACACGCATGTGAAAAACCCACTCAGTGCCACCACCTCCTTGCTGAAACTCTGAGGTTTTCTGCAGTTCGTGTACCCTGAACCCAAGAATCAAAATGGTGGTGAGCTTGCAATTTCAGAAGAGCTTTCAGCGCTCGCTAAAGTCCGTCCATCGCCTGGCGGTGCGTCATCCCCAACACATCAGCACAATGTTGCTGCTTGCAAGACAGATCGTGTTGTGCGGGCTTGGTCTTCGCCTATTTGTCATGTGGCTTGCACGACAGCTTGCGTTGTGCTGGGCCATTGAATGGATTTTACCAATCATGAAACGCATGGCAGTGAGCTGACTGGTTGGGACTGTTGCAGTTGTGCATGCTCTCCTTCAAGTTTCATCCAGCGCCAGAGTTACAAAGTGGCCTTCGACAAGATGAACTGGAACTCCTTTGCGCAGTTCGCCACGCCTAGCCAGTCTGTGTCCCTAGCCCTGCGTCTCCTTCAGACGCGATGCCAAATAAAAAGAATGGGCAACAGCATGCCGAGAGTCATGCGCACAAACCACCGATGCAATTTTCGAAAAGCTGGCATGCTAAATTTGTAAAGGTATTGCGGAGAGTGACAGCGACATGAGCGCTGCAACAGCCCTGCTTGCAACACACCAGACACTGGTTGATGCGACAGGGAGGGGGTAGTGCCCCATATTGTCACATCAAAGGGATGTTGCTACATCGGCGTGCCATTGACCGGTCACAACTCCAGAATCGGCCATCCCATGTGGCAATACCATGACAGTACAGAGACGCAGCACGATGCTTCAGACACCACGCTTTGGCACAGGATTCCATCGGGTACCAGCATGCACCTGGGCCCCTAGACTGCTGTCCACAGAAAAAAAAGTATGAGGCGTCATGCAACTGCATCGAATGGCCTTGTGGTGCCCCTCCAGATTGCCTCCAAGCCTTCTCTATAAGTCGGATACTCCAAACGCACACCAAGCTCACTCTTTAGCTTCCAGTTTTTCACCCTCTTTTCCTCCAGCCCAGCTTCTTTTTGCTCCCTGGAGTTGGGGCTAGCTGCCACTCCCCACCTTCGTGTGGGTGGGATCAGCAGATTGTGCGTGGCATGCTGAGACGGATGGTTGACCTTTTGAGACATCAATATTGCAGCATACTTCTCCACATCGGCACGCGGAGCCGGATCATCGTCAACAATGTTGTAAACGCCACCTGGGCTTCCGTTGCCGGACATGCTCGACAGGAGGACCTGCAAGACACGTTCGCATCACTGTTCGGTGGAGACAGAGACTGCCCTGTGCTCAGAAGAAAACCGCTAGCAATGGTGTACGCCAAAGGTTTGTAACAAGGCAGTACTGTGGGCAGGCAGGGGCCCTTATCTATGGTCCAATTCCCTCGCTTCTGCGGGTGATAAGGAGCGCAGCCATGCTGATGGCAATCAGCAACATGAAGATACAAAGCCAAATGAGAAGCATATTCCTTGAGACCAATGCGTTCACAGTGAGCCAGAAACCTTTGGTGGGGATAAGATTCGACGTAGTGGCCCCTGCCTGTCGTGGCTGGAGCTGCTACCTTCAAGTTCGTAAGTCGACATCCTTTCAGCCGATGGATGAGTGTCCTGTAGCCCAGGCCCTCTCCAATCCATTTCAAACATTCCAAAGGCACCAGGCTGCGACGGTGGGCCGACAGTCACCTGGCAGACATCGTACACATGACAACGATTGGTGTACTTTTGCATCCGCCGGCGCCTCTGCCCTGGAGACAGGGCCTTGGTTTGTGCGGCAGAAAGCACGCTTCTTCCTGGACCATAAATTCCTGTCCACCACGTTGCCTTGTTACATGGCACCAATCGCTTGTCCACTGACTGTTGAAGGATGAGCACAGAGTCATCGATCCATGAAACTTTACTCAAGGACTTGGTGCATGACGGCGAATGCACCAATAGATTGCGGCATCCAAGCTGAATCAGCATTCATGGATTCAAAATAATGTCCAATATATGGATACCCAGGCATGCATGGTCTTCAGTCAGCGCCAGATCTCACCCAGTTTTCAATTCCAGACAGCGCTCAGGCACATGCTGTTGCAGATACGAGGTGCGGTGTGCATCTTTGTTGAAGAAGACATTTTGTCCAAAACAGATTCGAACCCAGCATGGCAGACCCAGTCGCAACGAGACAAGGTCATACCCATAGCGGCTGATTACACCATGGCGCTATTCAAGAAGGTTACTACCGAACAACTGTAATCCAACTGCCAGCGATCACAATGTCAAAGGCCCACACTGCATTGATCCATTGCCAAAGCCACCATGCAGATTCAAGGCGCTCACCTCCCAATCTGAATACATGTGCTGGTACGCCAAATTCCCCTTGCAGACTCATCCACTCTTTCTCAGCAGTAGCTCTACAGACGTCCTTGGGTTTCGTACACTTCAGTGGTGACCTTGACACAAAAGGGACAATGCAGTTTGTCAAACATGGGCACTGACTGGCGGTCTGCATGTGCAGATGGTCTGGGAGGGCATGCACCTCTCATCTACCCATCCGCCTTGCCAGTCTCCATAGACACCTGGAACAACACAACACAACAACCAACACGTCAATGCCGAATGCACACGTGACTGCTGGTCCTGGCGGATTACCTGCCATGTTACATATACAGCTATTGTTTACATTGCACACAAAACATGGATGGAATGATATGCAGCAAGTCTCACCCGTGCTGCTGAGGTATCCAAGCCATGCTGTGGCTGGGATGATATCCGCCTTGTGGACCAGTAGAACCTGAAACATCCACAACAGTCACCAGTCGTGACGACAGCAGCAGAAATCTGTCAGGACAGTGATGATCTCCTTTTGTACATTAGGGGGCAGGGGGGTGGTCCAGATCTATGCTGCGGGATCGAGATTCCAATATTTGTCAATCAGCTGCCACCATGTTTTGCACTGGTGCTGCAGCTGGTGCTAGGATAGCTCCCACGTTTAGAGATACCTGCAGCCTTCAAATGCCAACGTAGAGACAACACTCACGGGGTCAACAGCTTCTGACCGGTCTTGCAGAAGAGGTGGGATCGAAGATAAGATGTGCGTTGCACTCTCTAGATAGCGTTGAGCTTCAGAACTGTGGCACACAGAAGACGCCACACGCGGCATAGTCAGGACAGCATGCTTGACTATTATGAAACAACAAATATGAGTTGATGCTGATGTTCCTGCCATCACTTTCAGGTACGTGGGGTCTGCTTCTTATCTGTGTTTTGGCAAATGCAAGCACCACAATCAACACACACTACAGCCAGTCTATCATTTGCATTGAGCCAGAAGACATCTGTACACAAGACAAAGGGCTGCCCTTGCCATCTTTGCCAGATGGGCATTAACGGTCACGAAACACAGAAAAAGGAATCAGCAGAAACACAATTACGCAGAAGAAACATGCAACTTGGCCTGCAATTAAATAGTTCCCAAAGCTTTGTCTTGCAACCATCAACAGTGAAGATTCTTGCACCGTTCCGTGCATTGAATGTTCTCATGTATGGGAGCCCAAATCCAAAACAGTGCTGTCCTTCCAACCAAGCACAGCTCTGCCAAGTGCTTTTGACACAGAGACTGGCGCTGCTTTCCAAATATGTATCTTCTATGAGTGTCCTCTCAATTTCGCTGCAACCAATCACATGCACACAAAGCAGTGTGCTGCAGTATGTGCTTTTTTTGCACCATAGTGGGGTTCTTTTCTGCCCTTTCCATCATTTCTTCTGGTTTCAGGTGGGCAATGTTGGAACCATTCAGTGCATGAGATCCCATGTGTTGATGTGTTATGCATGTTAGGAAATCGAGATACCATGCCATACAATGCAGAGCCTCCATGCAATCTTACCAATAATAAGAAGCGCATCGCTGCATTTTGCTCAGCTGCAAAACGCAACTGTTGGCCTTCAGGATTGTGCCCAAAATTTACGGCCTACAGCAAGCTGCATTTTCCACACAAGAAAGCAAAAACTCTAAATAAAGTGCTTCAGTTGCATGTGCACCTGGTCCCTGATGGACTCACCACAAATGTTGGTCCATTTCCAAGTCCAGCCTGTATGCATTGATGCCTTGCAGTCGAAGCCACTCAACAGCCTCTGGGCTCCTGCAGGTGCCTGACACAGACCTGCACAAATGAGGCCTACTTCAAATCTAATTTGGAACTGCAATGCAGACGTTGTGGTGGAGCCGCCCTTCGTCAGATTTCAGTTCGCTGGCTCAGGTCGCTAGGTGATAATTGGGCAGCCTTTGTAGGGCAATTTCAAACCCACTATCTACCACAAGGTCATCAGGTGCATGGCTTTGTCCTGTACTTTATGTGCTGCTCTGTGTTGCGTGTGTTCCTTGTTCACTTGTAGATGCCTGCACCCTCGTTCACAACATGGCAACATGTTTCGCAGGCAACTGCTGCTCAAAAGAGGGGTGCTTTTTCTATGACATGTGCGCTTTTGGTTGCAACCTGTCTTCCACAACCAGCTGGTAGGCAGGGGTTTCCTTGCTGCGGAATTGTGCATACGCGACGTTGAAGAATCGCTGCCACATAGATCGCAATGACAACAAGCCAGCCCAGCGAAGGGATCTTCTGATTGGCGGAAAAATCCCACCTCGCACTGTGGTCCCCACAGGGTGACATGACACCGTTCCAGCTCGTTTTACGTGCAGGCGCCAGGGGCCTTATTATACTTTGTCACCGCCAATGAGGCCATGCAGCGAACACCGGTCCACAGGGGCGTTCGGTGGGAACACGAGTCAAAACTCGTTGGAGCGCACTGTCGTGTACAAAACACGACAGTGCGCTCCAACGAGTTTTGACTCGTGTTCCCACCGAAGGCCCCTGTGGACCGGTGTTCGCTGCATGGCCTCATTGGCGGTGACACAGTGCCTTCATCGTAGGGCAGCTATGTTCGGATGATAGATAGGACCTGTGCTTGACAAATGCAATCAGCAAGCACAAGTGCCACGCAGAGCGAAACCCTTTCTTGGAAAATGGCCAAAGCAACTCGAAGAGTGCGGTGATGGTGACATTTGATTATCCAGCTCGTGGAGAGCTTACCAACCCAGCCTGCGCAACTGACTGGCCAGGCCCCACGCTGTGTATCCCAATCCGAAACAAAAGAAGCGACCCCCATCCGCCTTTCCCGTCGCAGGGACAGCATCAGTTGGCGAGGAGTGTGGGGCGCGCCGCGAACCCCTCACAGGAGAGAGCTGGCCGCCGTTGAAGCGCCACCGCGCGCAGCGGCGACGAGGCCACACAGCGCACGGCAAAGTTTCTTTCGAGACGATCATTGGCTGTTGACGGAGGCCTTGTGGTCTGCGGCCTTGCGGCCAGGAGGCTGTGGGCCTGGCCAGATTTCTCCCCCCAGCCACAGGAGGTCCATCCTTTGGTTCGCAATGCAGACCGCTCCGGACTTGAACATGCACCCAGGCACGCCCCCCGTCCCCGTCCTTGATCTAGCTTTGGTTTACTCGCGTCAATTTCGCTAAATGTCTGGTGTTTTCACTGTCTACAGATCCTGTAGTGCAGTACTTCACAGCTTTGGGACTGTCCTGGGAGTCGGCCGCTTTGGCAGATGCTCTGAGCGAAAGGGCACGGCTTGCACCGTGCCACAGTCTCCCTCGGGAGGATGGTGGGTGCCTTAGGGGGGAGGATGTGCTGCCCGTCAGCGGTGTTTCGAGGTAGCTTGCTGGCTAGGCTCGCAAGGAAATTGCCGCTGTCGAGCGTGGCCATCGATCCTGGGCATTCCCGCTTTGCTGGCTGTGCACAGCTGCAGTGCTGGAACTTTTTCGTTCGCAGTTTGAATCGTGTGTCCAATACCCGCTGTTGCATGTTGTGTGCGACAAAGAATGCTCCACGCCATGCCCACGCCCGCCTGCAACACGAGTGCAGCGCCACCAATTGGGGGCTGTTCCCCAACGGGACCCTCGATGCATAGCAAGGCTGCACTTTCGATGCTTTCGCATACCTGCTGCCTTCTTAGTGTCAGTTACTTTGTCTCATCTTCACAGCAGCCTCTGATACTTGCAACAATGACATCAATAACTGTAAGAGATGAGCAAGTCAAGAACAGAGCCGGGGTGGTCCAGGTCCCAGGAGGCGTTAAGTTGCCCACAAAGAGCCCTGCGTGAGGGATTGTTCCATTTCGAGTCCCAGGCGTATGTATGACGGGCATGGTGTTGCGCAATCAGTTGGAAGAGCACAAAATGCCAGATTTCAGACCCAATGTTTGTGGAGGCATATTGCTCATGGTGTGCTGGGTATTGAGGTGGCTTGAATTCACTCAGAAAGTAGTTTTCATCCCAATGTCAAGTGCTGCATTGCACCCATAGGGTACTGTCCAGCATTTTGTGTGCATGCAGAAATGTTCTCATTGTAAATGGTGCAGTGGTTTCAATGCTGTTGCTCACAGGATCCTGCAGCCTGTATCTGCTCCAGCAGCACAGTGGACACTCCCTGTGCACTGCCGCTCCCTTGACACGAGGGACATCACTTGCAGGCCATCGCTCATCGCTGTGGCAATGTGTGCAGCTTGCCCACACAAATCAGCCCTGTGGAAGGGACAAATGTGCTGGTCAGCGAAAGGGCTGCAGACCGGAATTCCTGGAATTGGTCTCTGCGGTGCTCCTACTTCAGTTTCCCAGAGGTTCCCTTTCTTGGAACATTATTGTTCCCATCATATGGCAGGAGCGTTTTCACCAGTCATTGCCTGCATCCAATGCATATGTTTGTCAAAACGTTGTTGGCTTGCATTGAGAGGGGCCTGCTGATAGACCAGCAATGTGGGTCAGCACATGGAATTCAAATGGTTGCCACAGTGGTGACTAATTTCCCTCCCAGATGGCTGTGGTGCACACTGATTTTCCATGCAGTTGCTGTAGAACGTGCTCCAGTTTGGAAGGCACCAAGTGTGTACACAAATGGATCGATGCTTTTGTGCTTCAAGACACAGAACTCTTGTTATGACCTGATCCAATCAGATAAAGTGAGTCCAGGCACTTGAAGGGCATGCTTCCATCTGGACAGAAGTCTCCTGGATGTTTGCCTGGCTAGTGTAGAGTGCAACAAGTTGTGTCGATGGTTCAACAAGTGTGTCTCCTGCAATACACAACTCCTTAGTTTGCATTATCCCGTCTGATAATGCGAGTGCATGCACCTAAAGGGTGATGAAGGCTGTTGTGGCTTTTGCCTCAACAACTTTGAGCACTGCAGCATTGCCCCCAGCCAGCTATTGGGCTGTTGGTGCTCTGGCTTAATAAGTACCGCATTCCCAATTCGTCCGCTCTGGGACAGTTAATCCCACTCAGTCTACACGACGTTACATGGATGACAGTAGTCCTGTGGGGTTTTTAAACATCCTTCTCTAAGCTCCCTGGCGTGGGGAATGATGAGCTCATCAACTACTATAGTACTTCATCACCCTCTTAGTGCAAGAGCGCAAGCTTGCCCTGAAAAGGCAAATGTATTCCAATTGGAATTACAGCACAGTATACCAAACATCAGAGTTGTTTCTGTTAGTGGCTGATGGCTTTGTGCTGTCCAGGGTTGCGCACTCGCTGCAATTGTGGTGGACCGGTTGTGTGGCTTGGCATCGATCCCGATGCATCTGGGGCGGTGGGATGCTTGATCCTGCCTGAGGCTGGTGCTTCCATGGTCAGTGCCACAGTCGAAGTTTTTGACATGCCCACAGAGCAAATTGAAGTTGTGGCAAGAAAGCGCAAGAGGTGAACCCAAGAGCTGGCTTTCTGGGATGTGGCGGTCAAGGTCTGGACACATGGTATGCTAACAGTGTGTTGGAGACAGACAGACACAGGTTGTTATGGGATGTGGGTCAGTCATTGGATATGGTGTCTTCTCTGTCTGTAGTAAATGAAATGTTGTGACTTCCAAAAACAACCACTGCAGGTTAGGATGTTCGATCAGAGATGTATCTTCCCCAGTGAGTCCTGAGATCACAACGCCTGCCTATAATACTTGTTGTGCCGAAATTAAGTCATGAAGGGGTCGTGGAGGCCAAAACGCAAGGCTCCTTTGTGTTCAGTTGCTGACGCTGCAGCTTTCCCATGGCTTCAAAGGTATGAGTTCACAGGGTGGTGTGTGGGGATGTGAAAGACAATAACCGCACTTGCAAAATGGCCGCAGCCTTAAACTAGACCCCATCTGTGACTGCCTAATGTCCATGTGCTGCAGAAAACCCCAGTTTTGCTTTTTGTGAATAGTATGACTTGCTTCACTTATGTGCCATGTTGGCGAATCATTGCCTGCAGGCGCCGCCTCGATGCACAAGGGGTCACAGACCTTGTAAGAGAATTGACTCACAGGCATGCCACAATACGTGCAGTGCTAGAATCGCCAGCAGTGAGCCCGTTGAATGGGAAATTCAGCTGGCTTCAAGCGGGTACGCACCTTTTGGACAGCTGCAAGGGGAAAGTTGGAGATCAGCCAAAAATGACCACCCAAGCTGCTTGGGATTTGGGTGACGATTGCTGAACTTCGTTGCTTTGGTACCCTGCTGAAGAATATCAAAGGCAGATTTGGAGGTTTAGGGAGTAAATGTCTCTGAGTTCTACAATACCCACCTGCTGTGTCATCAACTTGGACTCTGATCAGAGACAAAAGTACTTTGTTTGCAGTGGTGGAAGTTCCAAATAGCCAAAAGGGGAAGGGGCCCTTGCCAAGGCTTGCGGACACAGCTGCGCTAGCTCACATGATGAATGGCTCCTGGTGGGGGGGGTGCCAACTGAGAGTGCCATGTGTTGTTTGTGCATTCATTACGCGGCTCATTCTCTCACAGTGCATCACTGTCTGGATGAATAGTTTGCGTTTTGCATGTGTGCACAAAATTTGCAGGCTATGCATTTGGTATTTGGCATGGTGTCCTTTCGTCTGCTGGGATCTTGGTTGAAGATGTGAGTGCAAGGAGGTGGAAAATGGACATGGACTTGAACAAAAGGGACAAACGGGCAAGCAGGCAGCTAGCAGCACGGCTGTTTCCATCACTGGCTGATTCTCTGAAGTGAGTTGGGCTGATGCACTACACAAGAGCCTCATGTTGGAAATACTGTCAACTTGCGCCACAGTGTGAACTGCACACACCTGGCTGTGCATGGAACATCGCTTAAATGCCTCTCCTCCTCTCTTTGTGGACGCTGCATGTGCCACAGTTTTGTTATGCACTAAATGCCATACATGTGTGCATGATGTGTCTTTGTACACAAGTGAACTGCCTGGAAGAAGTGCACAGCGACAATGCTCGCATTCAGCATTTTTAATATCATTATTGCTTGCCACTCAAGCTGACGCGTCTCAAAATGCTTGAGTGTGGATGCAGGAGAGCGAAGGACCATGGCCGTGCAGAAGCTGTCCTAATCGCGGCCTGGGGCGCAGGGTTCAGGCCTCAACCAGATGTGATGGAAGAATTGTTCGGGAAAACTTCGGCTGAGGAAGAACAGGAAGGCAATGAGAGGGAGCCAGATTCGGAGAGCGTTGCAAATATAGCAAGGCAGTAATATTTGGGGGCGTTGGAATGGCAGGGAGAAAAGGCAGACCAGGGGACGTACACATGGCAAAATTTAATAGCAATGTGAAACAGCGAGCATTGTTTCTGTGGCAATCATGGCATTGCATGACAAATGTCGTGACAAACCTGTGGCCTGTTGTCGCACTATTGGGACAGGGCGTGCAGTCCGGATCAGAAAAAGTTCCCAAATACGTGGAAATCCATATCAAAGGGATCTGCACATTCAGCAAGTATTTCTGCTGGTACAGTCAAACAATGGTTGCTTGCCCTTGGGATCGTACTTTCCTGCCAGCCTGGTAGTTCACGTCCAGGGAATCGTCATGTTGGAGCCATACGTCTGGCAGTAAATTTATTAAGTTTTCATGGCTGCGATGTGCTTGCTGAGCAACATCCTTTCAAGCCGAAATCAAGAGTCCCCCGGAAAGCACACCACCCATTCGCAACGCACTATTTTGGTCCCTATCGAGTGTGGATCAGCATGGAAGACAATTGTCGTTGGTGCTCAAGATGCATGCTGTGCATCGACATTCAGCAGAAAAGCAGCTGTATGTTGCAACATGCAGCTGCCATCAAAAGTTGTCTTCATATACTTGGCCATGGCAACGTTGATCTCAATAGCACATTATCCACAGCGTTTGATAAATCAGCGTGCCTAAGTTCGGCTACTGTCGCCTGTGATGGCGACCTACCGTCGCAGATACAAGCTCCATTCATCAAATTCAAACGACAGACATGAGGGCAACACAAAGAGCACTTCATGCTGCTGGCAAAGTGTTACTGCAGGATATCATGCCCTGCAAGCTTCTCAAGCTAATGCCGCAGCGTTGTGGCACACAAATGTGTCGTGGCTTTTAGCAGCTGCTGTGATATTTGGAACACCGTTGGGGATGCTGATATTGCGTTGGTGCCAAGGAGAGCCGCCCAATGCGGCAAGGCGTACTGAAGCAAGGACTCCTGAAGGCTGCATATTGGTGTCAAGCTCGAATGGCAGATGGTCAAAAGGGGGGAGCTGAGGGGGGTCCGACTTGCGGCATTAAGTAATTACGCAATTGCAACAAATTGATGCATGCTAAGAACATTCACTGATCAATGGCAAACAAGTCATAACTTGTTCGTAAAAGCCCTCTTAAACGCTCAATTGTCAAGCAGGTCAGCGTATCTCAATTGACAGCATCCAGGGCTCCTCTCAGCGCTGCAAGCTGTTTCAATCAAGCATCCCATAGTTTGTCATTCTGTTTTGAATTTTGAATAGCTTGACATTCTGTTTGACATTCTTTTTTGCTGTAACATCGTCTTTTGCCCTTGCTTGAAGACTTCTGCAAAATATGGCCGTCTGACATGGCAGCCACCTTGGCGAAAATCCACAAAGCTCCAAGCCTTCGCCTGTTCCGCCTTCTGGCTCGATTGGATTTACGTCGAAGGAGACGAACCTGGGGTCGTACGGCTCTCTCACGAACATGTCCTCAGCGATTCTGCCATGGAAAATCCTGTTCAAACTGGTCTTCTGGCCCTGCACATCCGGGCTCACGCAGAAATCCGGGCATTGTGTGAGAAAAACGCTGGGAGCCCTTCGATTCTCACAAAATCGCTTGGAGACGCATGCGCTCGAATGGTGAGATTCCAATGGGTGCGCTCTGCCAAAATTCGAGCGCAGGAGACCTCAAACTCTGGCTGTGAAGCCGATCTGGTGGGGCTTGGGGCCACAGCCTGTGTGCAGGGGTCGCACATGAGGAGAATGCCAGCAAAGTGTTTACAACTTCACAGACTATGGTCCGTCCGTTCAGCCCCTCAGACACTGGGCACGACAGCATGCGGCCTGCAGCCCGCACACAGCATGGCAGCCACTCCCCAAATACCTTAGCCACGTCGGAAAGAGCAGTACGATCAAATCTGATACAATTGACGAAAGGCCTCCATTTGTGACTGCCCTAAGGGCTGATGAGTCACGCCTTGTCACTTGTGTTTTACAACAAGCGTCCAGTCCAGAGCCCAACAGTGAAGGCTCCACCAAGAAAAAGGACACCCCACAGAGACTCCGAGCAGGAAAATGCACACGATGTGCTTCCAGTGAATAAGCACTTCTGAGGCTTGAATCATAGGCTGCCCAATCTCAGCACCCTCTTGACGACGTTAGAGGTGGCCACACGGATCCGTTAATAGCGGACGAGGGCGCCCTCCGTTAAATATCCGTTAATTTAGCGGACCCCGCTCTCTCTGTTGCTGATGTGGCACGGATGGCAGCGGACGGCAGGCGCCAATCAGCGGACTCTGCGGATTCTGCCTGGGCGTTAACGGATATTCTCCAATGGACCGGAGGCCGCGTACCCCATCCGCTAATCTAGCGGATGACAGCGGACGTGTGTACCAAATCAGCGGATGACAGCAGAGCCCAGGCAGCAAGTACTGATTTCCGAATCTGGGGATCGGGTTGATTGCCAGCGTGGCTCAGCCAGGGTCCACATACAGTGGACCTTGGCGGTGACTGCGCACATAATTGGTTGCCCTCCGCCATCTCCTGCCCCTGCCGCCCCACGAGCCACCATGGACCCAGCACCTGCTCGGCCAGCAGGTGAGGCATACCGCGCCCACGGGCAGCATAGCCAGAAGCCTGAGGAATGCCCTAAGTACCGCCGACCTGGCGGGAAATGCCAGGCCGCGCGGGGGAAGGGGGGTCTCGGATGATCTTTTGGCCGAAAACCTGTGCGTGGCCGGATGCAATCCGCCGGTGATGCACAGGCATAGCGCGCTATCCTGCTTTCTGGCCAGGGCAACGCCCTCAGTACCGCCTGCTTTGGCGGGAAATTCCGGGCCGTGGGGGGTGTTGGGGGGTGTTTGGGGGGGCCTCGGATGATCTGTTGGCCGAAAACCTGTGTGTGGCCGGATGCAATCCGCCGGTGATGCACAGGCATAGCGCGCTATCCTGCTTTCTGGCCAGGGCAACGCCCTCAGTACCGCCTGCTTTGGCGGGAAATTCCGGGCCGTGGGGGGTGTTAAAAGGGGGGGGGGTTCTCGTATTATCTGTGGACTTTGAAAACCTGGATGTTGGCGGATGCATTCCGGCGAGTGATACGTGGGCATAGTGTGGGCTTCTGCTTCTGGCCGCCTGCTTTACTGGGAAATTCTTCCCCCGGGGGGGGCGGATTATGTGTGGACTTTGGAAACCTGGTGGCATATGGCCGGGTGGGAAGATCATGGCCGGGGTTTGACTTCATTCCGGGATTTTGCCTGCGACCCTCACCAACTGTGTTGCAGGTGGTACCAACGCTGAAACGGAAAGCAGGCAGGGGCGCCTTCGACAGGCGGGACGTGTAGGTGCGGTGGACGTGTACCTCTGTGCAGCAAGCCTGAGTGCCGCCTATTGTGGCTGGGTGCTGTAGGGAACATCGCGGGAAGTCGGGTACAATCGCAATCTTGATTCTAAGGCCGGTAATCCAAGGCTTGAATGCCTCTGGCTGGAAACCATGCATCCATTGGGGCACCTACTGTCCTGCGTATAAGTTGGAAATGTACTTAACGTTGTGTGTGGTGCTGCAGCCTCACCAAGCTGCGTCAGTGCAGATCCAGAAACCATCGGGAGGGGGATGGCGAGCGCAGAGGAGCAGCAACACAAACCCTCACTTGGTGAGTGGATTACCGTTTACACTTGCAGAACCGTATTTTGTTGTCGACTTTGGCGGCTGTGGCTGTGTGTGTTTGTCGGTGTGTAGGGCACTGCACCATTCTGGCATGGCCACCTCGTTGGTGGTAGTACCCGCCGTCACCTGGCTGGGGAAACCTTGGCAGTTCGTTCCTTCCATGTGGCCATGCATTGCACAGGGTGCACCACTTGTCGCTGCAATACCCATCGTCTTTGCTTATATGCCACCAACATTATTTGGCAGTACCCGCCGCCACCTGGCTGGGGAAGTCTTACCACTTTGTTACTTTTATTTGGCTGCACACTGTACAGGGTGTGCTGTATGTCCCTGCAGTACCCATCGCCTATTTTTCCTTATGTGGCATGACCACTTTGTGGCAGTACCCGCCATCACCTGGCTGGGGAAACCTCAACACTTCGTCCCTTTAGGGGGCCGTGCATTGTACAAGGCGTGCTGCATTTCTCTACAATACCTATTGTCTTTGCTTCGGTGCCACCACCAGTATGTGGCAGTACCTGCCGTCACCTGGCTGGGGAAACACCATATTCTGTTCCTGTGTTAGGTCGGAAGCGGCCCCTGAACAGGGGCCAACGTTACAAGGATGGTCGAAAGCGCCGGCACAGACACAACAGGAAGGGGGGAAGGAGACGTGCAGGGGTGAAAGTCAGGCGGCGGATAGAAGCTGCGCGCGATAGGGAAGCTGAGCACGATAGGGAAGCCCTACCAGATAGATTAGAGGAAATACAAGAAGCGGGGTTGGGTGGCCTGCCCTCGGGGGTGTGGCGGCCCATACAGGACCACCTCGCCCCCAAGGACCAGGCCCGATTAGCCGCCGTAAGCGGATACATTAATAACGCATTGGGGGGGGCAGAAGGGGCACGGTTACGAAAGGAACAACACGAGAGACAGAACCCCCCCAGTCTTGGGGAGAATGGCAGAAGCGTCGCAGGCAGGAACGCAAACAAGTGGATATGAATCGCCGGGCTGCTTATAAAACACGTCAGTGCGCGGCTATCATAGATTTGGTGCTGCACCGGGGGGAGCACATGGTGGGGTACAAGTCTATTAGCAGAAAATATAGAATAACTGAACCGTCGCTAAGACGCCTGGAAGAAAGACTCCTTGAAGACGATTTTTTTTCACAGGTTGGGTGGGAGTTCAATGTCATGGACTCCGGCCTCCTAACAGGGAGTGACACGGAGACTTCCTCCGATTAGTTTTTTTAACAAAACAATCTGATTGTGAGGTGAAGTCCAAGTACCGCCTGCCACCGGCGAGGAAGGTGACATTTGCTGAACAATCCATGGTTGTGAGACGCTTTTCTGCCTTTATTTCACAGAAGGAAGTGTGC